ATTCTGTATCGAGGCATTTCTGTTGCACTCTCATGCAGGAGACTGAAAATTTTGAGGTGGCTTCCATTTACATTTTTAAAGAAAAGGAGTTCTCTTATTGAAAGAGAGTATCAGTACAACACAACCACTAAAACTTCAGGAAGTCACTAGTTAAGGCAGCCTCCACATGCCTTAACACCCAAATATCATATCTGAACCACTCACTCTGCACCTCCACAAACTCCATTGATCACAATGCATACACAGTTTTTTTACATCAATCTTACCTCCAACCAAACTGGATAAATATATTCTCTACCGACGTATTCACAAAAAAAATATCTATAATCAGCTGTTTGTATGTGGCAGTATGTTGCTCAGAATTAAGATTTATGCATAAGTGTGAGGCAAAGGAATTTGATGTATTCACTGGTTATGGGTGGAAGTAAATCTATATATAAAAAAATCAATGTTGAAAAGAATGTTTACAAGAGATGTGGACAAATTGGAGAGAATCCAGAGAAGAGCAACAATATAAGATGGAAATGTTAAAAAAAACTGGGCATGTTTAATCTTGAGAAAAGAGGACTGATGAGGGACCTGATAACCTCTTCAAATATGTTAAGAGCTTTTCTAAAGAGGATGATGATCAATTGTTCTCTGAAGGTAGGACAAGTAGTAATGGGCTTAATCTATTGCAAAGGAGATTTAGGTTACATATTAGGAAAAACTTGCTAACTATAAAGGATAGTTAAACACCGGAATAGGGTTCCAAGGAAGATTGTGGAATGCCCATGACAGGAGGTTCTCAAGAGCTGGCTAGACAAAACACATGACAGGGATAGTCTAGGTTTACTTGGTATTGCCTCAGTGCAGTGGACTGGTCTTGAAGACTTCTCGAGATCCCTTCCAGCCCTACATTTCTATGATTCTATTATTGTTATCCACACGAATAACTTAATTTTGATATTACTATCCTTCCTAGATCTTCTTGCAGAGTTCCAGTGCTCCCATAGCTGCCCTCTTCTGCAATAAACCCCCACAAAGCCATACTTCCTTCCCCAGGCTTCCCTCCCCACTGGCTTAGCCTTGTTCCTCCCACTGAATTCTTCTCCTGAGATACACTAACCAGTATGCTCCCCTGACACACACATGCATATGCATATTATTTTTTTATTTATATATATAAAAATATAAAATAGGCATTTCTTTCTGTCCTACTTCTGCCACCTCAGATATCTCCAACCCTTGCTCAAGCCCCACATTCCCTTCATGTTCCCCCTCTCTGCCGTTTATGCCCCTCAGCCTCTGCATGAAGTGGAGGAGCAGCCAAGAAGGGATAAACCAGGATAGGAGTGGGTATGGGGAAAGGAGGGGGCAAGTGCACATCTATGTAGAGGGCATGGGAGAAAAAAGGATTGAGAGCGGTGAACAACTGAATGTTTGTGGGAAACCCACAGTTGGGAAAACAGTGCTTCTGCATAAAGCCACTCACCTCTCATCATAACAGGGGACAAGGAGGAAAAAGGGAGGAAACTTGAAACTACCACCTCCACTCCTGCGGCACTTTCTCTCTCTGATAAGATGGAGATTTGCAAGAAGGGACACTCAGTGTGATAGACTTGAGCAGGTCACACTGGAGAGGTACAGCTGTGGAGAGTATTTTTATTCTTCTTCCTTGTTAACCCTCCTGTGACCACTCAAGTCGCTTGCCCAGTCATTCTCAGAAACAGGAAAAGATGAGCAAGGATATAAAGCAGAAGAGAAGAAAACCCAGTACCTCTCTACAGGCTTAGCACTCCAGCAACTCCATCATTGGTGCTTCAGCTCCCCAGCCCACATCACTGTGAGGACCCAGTTCTTTGCACCCCAAGACTTCAGCTTTTGAGGGGCTCTATGCGGTATTGCTGTCTGCTACACTAAGAAGTCACACCAGTATCACCAAGCACCCACTTCTTTCCCTGCCTCCACAGTGCACAGTTCCAACCAACCTCTGTTCCATCTCAAAGCTCCATCTGTCTCCCATTGCCCCAATACCCCTACCCAGCCTGCCTCCCCAGTATGTTTTTGATGGGCACAGCTGGTGACTCAGGCTGCCAACAACAGATACTACAAAGCAGTATATATAGTGCTTCCCACTCTTCCATGGTGAGCAATAGCTACACTACAAAGATTTTTATTAAAAGCCAACTCCCTACCCAGAAGGGGAAGTCAGATTACAAACTAGTTTAGAGGCAAGGATGGAAAGCCTTAAATCACTAACATTTTCATAGCATTTAGGATACAGCATACCTTTTTACTAATAAATGCTTAAAAGTAGAGGAAGAAATCCAGTAAAATTCAGATTTTTTTTAAATGACTAGCAATTTACAGCTGATTTAATTCAAAAACAGGTAATACATGAAAGGCATCTGAACCTAGGAATAAGATACATAACACTGCTGTATCCCAATGTCTATTTTGAGATCAAGTAAAGAAGGACATGCTGAAGAATCAGCTAGAGCAAAATGAAACACACACGTGCACGCATGTATTTTTATTTCCTTTTGGTTTGTACTGTGGAAGAAAATACTTGTTTTATCTCCTGTCAGCAGTAATTATGCAGGGTCTATGATCAATTAAAGTAGAATTAGGTCTTGGTTTTGTTAAGGAGTATAAGAAATATACCTATTCTTGATTAAAGGAATAAAGCGTGCTACACACTAACAGTGATCTTTTTGGTAGATTTAACAGCTTTCATGGGAGTCCATTCATTCACCAAAAAGATGTTGACTGGCATGCGGCATTCAAGATGACATGAACAAGGCAGACAGTCAGAGGATCCTCAGGACCCTAATATTTTGTGACCATGGAATCATCTGTCACTTGTACAAAGTGTGGAAGTGTTCTGTATGGAGCCATCAATATAATTTAGAAAATCTTTAAGGTTTAAAATTGAAGCAAAAAGTGACTGTCAACACAGCTGAAGTTTGTGCTTGCACATAATGTCATCCAGCCATTCATTCTAACTAGCAGCATAAAATACAGATGTTTGGAAATAGGACTAAGGTTGAGAAAAGATAATTAAAAATTAACATGATTATCTCTTCACCAACCACTTAAGCGCTTTGAAGTGACAAAAATCCTCCTTTCCCACCTTTATAACTACAGCCTAACTTCTGCTTTACTCGAGTATATTCAACACCCCAATAGTTTGTGATGAACCCAAAGAGCCTTTCACCAATAAAAGCAGCAAAGA